CGGCGCAAAACTGATTCGCCGTTCGTGCGAAAATAATCGGCGGAGGAGAGGCGGCTCTGCGTCCCCGATAAGACGAGACAAGAACCTTCGATAATCTGCCAATGAAGCTGTGGGCAAGAAACCCGACGCCCACCTACGTGCGCCGGCAGTTTTAGTGCGTATACCGAACTCGAAGACCTAGCTGCTGCGATCTAATCCTATTTTCGTTAGATCCGTTAATGGTTAATGGGAGGCAAAGTGGTCAGCGACCGGAACAATGGCTAAGTCCGTCTTAAATCCCGTAGGAGGAGGGAAACCCTTGTAGCCCCCTTAGCCAAGGACCGTAATCCGCATGGGATAACTATTGGCTGCGCTGTTGCTTCGGCGAGGCCAAGTCAAACTGTGCCGAGTGTGCGAGAAAGTTTTAATTATTATCGACAACCTGGCATTCTGTAAATTTCGAGCGATAGGATGTGCTTATTTCGTGGAAGCACGGGGGAGATTGAATAACCGTGTGCACGGTTAATATGAACGTAATTGGAACAGTGCGTTTCGTTAACTAAAAGTATGTTTATGTAAGTATACGGAATTTAATTACAATAATTTTTGCAATTATAATAACGATCTGAGTTTTGATTATAACATTCTTCGGGAGATCGCGGAGAACACGGAGATATCGTTAACATTGGTTCGACAATTGAAATTCAGCGGAAGGGGTATCTCCCGCGAAGGACCCGGTGCCCGGAGGACAAACTAACTTGTGCCGGGGTATATACTTAATCATTATTCGGCTGTAATATGCAAGGGTAGAAACAACAATATTCTCGTTTCCAGCAGCTCGGCGCCCCCGCAGTGCCCCCGCGTCTTGCGGCGGATCTTCGCGTAGGCAAATAGTGCAATCGGGATTAATGAGGATTAGGGTGCGAAATTTATGAAATTCGAGTTCGCTTTGGCCGGCGACGGGATCCAGGCTCCCTTTGAGAAACGCGAAACGACCGCGAAAGCGATCTCGAGAGAACGCGCGTATGCAATTAAGAGAAAGAGAGACGTGAGAAAGAGAGACATTTTATCGCGAGGGAAACTTTTCGAGGGAAAACTTCCTTCGGAAGAATCACGAAGGATACGCGAAAACCATACCACCGCGTGGATACCGCGATGCAAATAAGAGAATGCCAGACGCGCGCGATCCCCGGGGCTGTAAATTACCGAAATAATCCGGCGGTTAATTCCTGCCCGCGCTTTATTACCGCTCTTGATCCGTTAAAATTAAATTCATAAATACCCGCCGATCTCGCGCGCGGTCTCGAGATTCCGGTCCCCCGATCTTCTTCCGTGTATTTTCGTTTGTAGATACTTCATTCACCCGTGAAAGCGTTTCGCGACGCGTCCTCGACATTAGATGTTTCGAACAGGTCGCGAGAAGAAAAGATTGGTTGTTTCGTAGGCGCTAGGCGGGGCTTGTATACGAGGGAGAGTGAGTTGTAACACGAAAACTACATTATACTATTCAAACGATTGCGGGCCGCGCCGGGCAAGTTGACATTGTTGTTTCTGAGGGTCGCCTTAGGGCCCTGCGAATATCTTAGCGTCGAAGTGTACGCAGTTATACGTAGAGATACATACATACATTTGCCGTGAATACGTGTGTACGTGTATATTTATATGTATGCACACATAATATTTGTGCTTGTGCGTGTCTGTGTGTAGGTACACCACGTCGTGGTACAAGCCCTCGGGGGTTGTGAACGCTATACCGCAGCCTCTCTCGTCTTCCTGCGACCGTATATACTAATCAATAACCATGAATCGCTCCGGTAACAGTGCCATGCACGTTCCGTTGCACCGTTATTGTTACTACGCGAGTGCTCGCGCCACCGTGAAAATTATTATCGCCAACGATCCTAGGTCCACTCGAGCCCGCTCGCGATATCGTTCGCCGTCCGGCGAGAAACTCGTAAATCGTGATGAGCGCGGCTCTCGGAAATATATCCGCCACTAATACCGTCGAACCTCGTGACCGAGAAATGCATGTGAACATGTGCATATAAAAGCGTAAGGGACAAAAAAGATTTAAGACCTATTTAACAAACCTGGGATGATTCAGCAACAATTAATGTAGAAATGTAAAATATGATCCATTTGCTGCTTATATTTCTCCGTACGTCAGACTCGGCAACGAAATTGACCGACGGACAGCTTCTCGTCATTAATTACCATCTATCTGTCGTGGTTAAAGCGATCTCGCCCGCAGCGGTGAAGAAAGCGCGCGTAGGGCAGAATCCTGTTTCGCAAGCGGCTGAATACGGCCGCTAAAATTAAAGATATAATTCTCGGTTTATGAGCCGGGTCGCGATTAGGGCTCGTCTAATTGACATAAGAATGATAGAACGGGCCGGGCTTTTATAACCGAACGGTGCGGCGCGGCGCGGTGGAATCATTTCCTTACGAGGAAAGCGAGTAAAGCGCTTTTCACCACGGCTAATATTAATCCCTGCAATTTTAATGCTCACGACCCCGCAGCCAAATTTCAATAAGGTCGCTCCTCCCCCACGGCGAGGAGCGCCCGGGCTCTCGCATAATTGATTTCCAGTTTTTTTTTCCATCGCGACAAACTTTTCCAGCCATCCCTCGACGAGACTTACGCTTTGTGCTGTAAAAAAAAACCGTAAGATCTGAGAAAAGGTGTTTTGCACATGGCATAGTATCTGCCTCTAGGCGAAAAGTAATTTGGACGATGCGATGTAGCGACATTGAATACAGATATGCTTTTAAGTTGTATCGTACATACCAATCGCGAGAGAGTTTTGTTAAAAATTGATTTTTCAGCTTTGTTTTTGAACATGAAACCATTCACGAAGCGTAGCACGCGACGATGAGAGAAACAGGAGCCGAGATGTTCTCTCGAGATATTTCGTCGCGGCATAGATTTGAGAGGCGTTTTCGCGAGTGAGAGAAAGATAAGCGAGCGAACGGAGTAATCGTTAAAGCATCTCGGAATCAAGTCGATCCGGCATAAGCCTCGGGGTGGATGCAAGGGCTGGTGTTTCGTCGACGACGATCTCTAATAAAGTTCAATTATCCCCGGAAACGTTTGAGAGAGAGCGGGACCGAGGGGGCGGGAGGGGGAAGGCAGAATGTAGAAGATACGGGAAAGGGAGTAACGCGGGGCGGGATGGAAGGTACCCAGGGCCGTCGAGAGAAAGAGAAACCGGGAGAGATGATAATCTAAACGATCGCAAAGTGGGCTGCAGAAACGCGCCGAAATTGGCAATAACAGGGTGGCGAGGGGATAACGGGGGCTGAGGGGGGGGGGGGGGAGGGGGGGGGGGGGGGAAGGAACACAGCGCGCGGCGTATATACCATGGGGCCCCGGCGCGAACTTCCTATTCTGGTTAGCATTCAAATTGAATCTTCGTGGCGGCCGGTCGTGAAGAGTTACCGCCGTTAATGGACCTCGCAAACGCTCTCAAATTGCTGGCAGACTGCTGAGACGACGCGGCCCTACCTAATCTACCGGCTTGATTCTCTGTCAGGCTTTGTCTGTCTTTCTCTCTCTCTCTCTCTTTCTCCCGTCACTGCTTCGGTCTGAACGTATGTCGCGTAACTTTTTGGATTCTCCACGAGAACCAGGGTCGGGAAATAATTGCTGCTAATGCGACGGTAGCGTATACACGAACCTGCAAAAGAGTCTTTTAAAAGCTTGCGAAATGCGATAAGCGGATTAAACGTTGTTTCGAATTTTATTAAACTTCCCCGATGAGGTATGAAAATGGATACAGATTGAAATAAATAAAATCATTGTCAAATTGTGTCTCAAATTTATGTTCAATTTTATGTACTTAATTTCAATTTACAGCGTATAATTTCTTGTTAACAGCGTAGCGAAAAATCTGCAAATCGTCCAGCGAGCTAGCGTGCGTTACGAGCTACGTGGCTCATTGCCCACCAATGTAATTCGAGAAGCAAGCGAGCTAGAGGAAAGAGAGAGAGAGGGGGGGAGCCTCTTCCGCCGCCTTACTTTTCTTCCGTTAAATCGAATTAGCTTGCTTGAGTTAGAGCCCGGAAACGTTTTACCGTGTTACCAGTCTAAAAAATGATTTCGCGACCCTCTAACTCCAAGAGGGCGGAATTTTTCCAAGTTCAAGCTTTATAATTCGAGACCATCATTTACACATTCACGCGCACTTTAATTTTCTCATTTATATGCTTGCGCTTACCTCAGCACGTCACGTTTCAGCCACGAGAGTGACTGAAAACTGGTCACCGCATGGCGCACAGGTTTCTTAGTACCGTTCAACGAGTTTCTGGACTCGTCCTAACGACCCTCTAGCAGAGATTCGAAATGGCTAATTTAGCGCGGTGGCTCCCACGGGAACGGGGGAGTTCTGCAAGTCGGAGACGGAGATATAGGGATGAGGGGGGGGAAGTCGTACACGAGACGAGAAACATGGACTAAGCAGGTGGAAGCGGGGAGACGGCGGGGTAGGGGGACGGAGACTCCATGTCTTAATATAATTCTATTAGAGGTAACTATGCGAGCTCTGGTCTGCCCATCGCCATTGGATTTAATCACGAACTCAGCCAACCGTGCGATATTCTCTCCCCGCAGCACCTCTCGGACGATGGCAGGTGGATAGCGGGGAGAAAAGATGGGTAGATGGATGGGAGACACTCTTATTGTCAAGTTAACCGCCGATTATAGTCGGCTATAGCTGATCTTCAAATCCTTCGCGTTTCCAGAATTTACGGTTAGAGAGCTTGGTCCTTTCTGACGAGGTTTCCTCGAGAAGATGAGACCATTTCTAGTAATTATTCATGGAGGATGAAGACACTCGGTTGTCTTAAGCATCTTCGCGCGAGCTAGGTAACCGAGCAATTAAAACTAACGATAGGGGAAGCGAGAACTTAAGTCAGAAACTGAATGAAGAACCGCCCTTTGCATCCCCGGAGCGGGTTCACACTCTCTGGGGGAGTGCACGAGAACGTTTAAATAAATTTCCATTATCTTGCGTGTGTTACAGCCGAGTTGAAAATGGACGTTCTCCGGGAGCGAGAGGTCAAGGACAGTCTAGAGCGGCAGCTACAGGACGAGCAGAAGGTGCGAGGTGAGTACAAGAGTATAAAGATCCTTACCTGGTCGAGATCGCGAGAGGAGGTGCGTCCTTCTTCGAAGCATCGAATCGAGACGATCGGTTTATCCGAGTTTACAAGTGGCATCCAACCCGCTCCGCGTCTCTCGTACGGTGCAGCTTTGAGAAAATTGACTTGGCCGGCAAACAACGCATTGACGGGGGCCCGAGAGCGCGCAATCCGCGACACACGGTAATCTCACGGGCGTGCATCGAGCGCCTCGGGCGGGTTTTCGAAGCCGAGGCTTAACTCGCCGATAAATCAAGAAGCCGTAGAGGTATCGCGCTATAAAATCTCGGCTCGCATCCGTCCGTCCGTCCATCGATTTCTGCGTATTGTATTATTCCACGTTGGGGGTCTCTCGCCTTAACCAACCCGCACCCCCCGTAACATTCCCTTTACCTACTTTAGGCTTGCCCCCGACTCGCGGCGTCTTCTAGGCGTCTATACATCTAATGGAAGGCAGGGATCGGACCGAAGATCGCGATCGCCTAACCGAGCTCGTATCAGATGTCAAATGGTAATAGAATAGTTACCGTTGCGTGCTCGTTATCCGTTTCCCTTTAACTCACGCGCTCAATCCCGCACAATTATTCTTGGCCCTTCGTCGAAGTTCTATCTGGTGTGATTTCCCATTCATTTTCATTAATTTCCCTGTAATTCTGTAGCGCGTAATTCTGAACCAGCGCATCAACAAAAACGAAAATTTCGCAAGTGCCATTTGTTATAAAAGCCAAACGTGTTATTGGGCGCGATGAAATATCGAACGGATAGATGAGAGGGGATACGGATAACTCTCAATTTACGCGATTAATGCGTTACCTGTAACCCACCATGTAAATTCGAATTTGCGTAAATCAAAAGCTGACATAAGATGAGAGTGTACATTATATTATATTGTGAAATTGCTGTCGCTTTAATCGAAAATTTTGATCACTCGTTTTTCATTTCCTCCATTTTTCCACGCGTCAGATGCGTATAGATTCGGAATGACTTCAAAATACGCGAACGGGAGGGGGATGAGAGGGAGGAGAGGGTACCATACCGGGGGAACCATACCATCAGAACTGGATCTTCGGTTCCAGCTTGCAGATATAATATCGCGAATTTTCGAGGCTCGACAATGTCGACGTCTCTCGTCTGACGTGACAACAATGCGAGGCTCGATAAATATGTAAAAGTCGGGAAGAACGGCCACGCCATTCGCGGCTTTACGAAACGCGACGTGCTATTCTATTCAAGAATAACGAGTGAAATGGTCTTTTGGTAACTGGCGTAACCGCACGCCTCAGGAAAATCGTGCAATTAAAATATTGCTCAGTGAAACGCACGTGATATAAAATTTTTTTCTAGAGGCTTTTTCAAGAGGCCAAAAAAAAATTAATATATTTGACATGCGATTCCTTACGACGTCCGAAATGACTCACGGTTCGCACGAGACTGAATTTTCGATAAACACGAGACGAATGTTATAGACGCGAATGCGTTTCAGTCGATTCTCAGGAAAAACGACTCGGCGAGGCCAGGCCCTCGCGGTAACACGAGCCTGTGACAACAGCAGTCCATTAGTCAACCAGCTCGGTGTCAATACATGAATATGACAGCCAGTCTCACGGAATATCCTATCCACCCTGTCTCTCTCTCTCTCTCTTTCTCTCTTTCTCTCGCGTCATCTTCCATCCCCTGCTGCTTCGTCCTTCCGACCGTAACGTCAAGCGAGACCATTACTCGCCCTATGATATCGCAAATATAGTAAATAGTCCGCCCGCATTGTGCGGCCTATCGATAACTTTATCCGTGCGAACGATGTATGCGTTCTGCGCGCGTGTTTCGCACGCGTACGACATTACCTTATCACTTAAATGGCGATGCGACGTGATCTCCGTGTATCATTGATTTATATTTTAATAATACTTTAGATGAAACTCTTCCTCGAAATATTTTTTCCAAAAAAATATCTTCTACTTATTTCCCTATATTTTGGAGACGAGTGTATCTTCCAACATGTATTAACTTCACGTCGAAATTTTGCCGAGACTCGAGATGAAAAAAATTCCTTTCGTAAAAAATAATAGTTCGTTAAGAGAAGCCCTCGGTGTAATTTCGTCTCTCTGCTCAGGGCGGGTCTCGTGGCGCGGTCGCGAGAGGTAAGGCGATACGTAATTTCGTGCGCGTAGCAGCTCGCGGCTTGCAGGATTCTAAGATGATTGATGACCGGCCAGTCCCACAGATATTTACGCAGGCACTTCGTAAGACTTCCTCCTCTCATTCGACTAATGACCGTCTTGTAAGAGATACCGTGTCAACCTTTACCGTCTGCCGGCCGACGACGACGACGACGACGCCGACGACGACGACCCCGCAGCGCTTTAACGAGGGCGTATCCGTCGGCAGTTTTTCCGATCGAGTACCCCGCTGCTGCACACCCCTTTTTCCCGCAGAACGGCGCACGATGCACACGTGCGCGAACCTTCCTTGCTAAGCCATCCGGCTTGGGGTTTAAAATACCAGGACAGCAGCCCACGCGCGCGCATTCGCTTGGGTTTGCCAGGTAAACTCTGTGCGTCAATAATAAAAACGTTTAACGAGTTCAAAAATATGCGATAAAGTGTACAACGTTAATTAGGAGCCAATGTCAATTTCAAAAAAATTGCCATTTCGTGGAAATAAATGTCTTATCAATTGCCCGTCATTACGAGAGACGCTATTACGAGAGACGAGTGTTAACGACGTCGAAGGAAGCTCCGCTAAACGCAATTCTATGGGCAATTTGTGCGACAATCGAAATCGTACGCGATACAGCAGCGACGTGTCGAAGGGGGAGAAGCAGCGTTATTAGCCCGTTTAAAGCCCAGCTTGGCATTTCGGTAAAGGTTGAAATCTTCGGCCTCCCGCTGGGTGGGTGGGTCGTATTATCTTAGCAGGGGTTGCGAGAAATCCGGCTTCCTTCCTCGGTGGTATCGCGACGGCGCGGTGAGGGGGTTGCCGGAGTTGGATGCGCGACTTTGTCGACGGCGAACAATAAGATGACCTTTCGCAGCTGGTGAATGCACAGAGTCTCGTAATTCTGAATAGAATACACGAAAGAGCAACGACCTCCGCGTTGAATTTTTACTCAATCCTCCGTAAAAATTATAATTAGAAAATTCATGACCGTAAGCGTTATTTTCAAGTTTAAGTGCTTAATAAAATACGATTTGTTGAAAATATTAAAGTTTTTACGTCATTGCTGATTCATGACGAAAACGATAATGATATGCGAATACTTTGTTCGTTTTTTTATTCACTGTGCGTAAATGTCGTATGATTATAAAACGCAGGAACAGGAATGGCGTCACTGTTTCATTTTTTTTTTCCATGTAACTGGACCATATGAGGAAGTATTGTACGCTTACGAAGTTTCCCACGTTCTTCTGCTGCTTACGCAAACGCGGAAGATCGCATTTAGACTTTGCGTTCGGATTCTTACCGAACCGGGCTCCGGCCAAGTACGCCGAACTCGGTACTTACCCGTCCGTGTTAATATTAATATTAGTATTGAAACGATACGCGCGAACGGACGAAAGAATAACAAACACGACGGAAAGAAACGCGTAACCGCTTCTGGATCCGATCCGCTGGCGGATATTCTGGCTGAGCACATATCGCGCCATCGAATTAACGAACGACGACATTTTCACGCAAAAGCAAAAAGCTCTCGACACGCGTAAACCTTCCGAACCGCGGTAGCCTGGGAACCGACAGCTGCCTTTGCCGCCGGTTTACACGGAGCTGCGGCCTCTCTGTAATTAGCCGAGCCGTTTGTCGCGAGACCCGTCGAGAGGAACACCCCTTTCAACCCCTCCTCCCACATCACATCCCTCTCGCGGCAATCTACGCGAGGAGCGTTGTTAACTATCTTAAGTTGTGCCGCGAGATTTTCCGAGCAAAGAAAAGGCTCCGCGCGTGATCGTTGTTTCATCAATCATGTAGCGTTACGCGAAGCACGTTTATCGATTGCCTTTGGCACTTTGCGAATAAATGAGGAACAAGACTTATCTATTGAAGGAGTAAAGAAATTATAGACAGACGTAGCATGGGTATTATTTCGTAGATGGAAACGTCTTTGCAGTAATTCGCCGGTGACGCGCGCGACGTCGAAGTAGTTATCTCTAATGACAAACATTACGCTCAATCGTATCCGGTTACAGTTATGGGACACGCTCGATCGAACGAGCGTCGCGTCGCGCGGCTCTGATGCGAAATTAATCTCTCCGGTGAAAAAGTAACTGTAACGACCTGCCGACGCGTTATCTCCCGGCGTCGTCGGGCGACAAACGGAATTGAAACTGCACAATCAACTCGCCGAGATTTATATACGACTCTCCCCTCGAATTAGCCGGGCCGTAATGCTGGGATCGGGTGTCGGTGTAATTGGGACCCGAGGGACTTTCCCGCGTTTCAACCCCTCGGCCTCGGCTCGACCGCCGCCCACGCCAACATCGTCGCACCATCCCCGTTTGTGCCTCTGATACCCGTTTGTTCGTTCGTTCCTCCGACGTCGTCGCGATGGACAACATCGCGATCGTAGCGATCAACAGAGCGACTAAGAATTATTTTACGCCAGCATGGCGATGACTACGAAATATCGGAGGATTAGAACCGTAAAAAGTGGGTCGTTGCACGGTCGATTGGCTCGTCGCAAATAAAAATTACGAGAATGCCAGGTCGATGGCTGGAGATGATTTGTTGTACTTTTTCACGAGGGCAATTATTCCTTTATACCAAAAAACCTTAAAATTTAATTATTAAAAAAATGATATTAATCTTTCTTTCGCATATTTCGTCTCGATTCCGTCTGTCCTACGCCTGTCATCTTCCACATTGGGTCGAAGGTTAATTCTCACAAGAATTGACAACGGCAAGACGAAGTTGACGACAACGGCAGCTGATTCGCCGCTTTGAAGTGAATGTTTATAGCGATTGACGGAACTCT